ATCATGAAATAGTCCTCCTTGGGGTCTGCTCTGAGCTTCCATTGTGTATAAACCTCTTTCTTCTTTCTTAAGAGGACCATGATTTCCCTGTTTAGCCAAGAGGGCTTCCCAGCCCTTCTCTTACCTTTTCTCCACAAGGGAATGGATTTCCTTTGTGCTTCAAGGATCATGTCCTTAAGGAACAATGTCTCTTTGTGCACGCCTTTCACCTTTGGTCCCTGGTCCGGCAGCACCTCCCCTAGTAGTGACCTAAGCTTGTTGAAATTTGCATTTTTTTAAGTCCAAGACTTCAATCCTGCTATCAAATTTGTCTGCCTGAAGTCGGACAGTGACCATGATATTTTCATGGTCACTGTCACCCAGACTTCCCTCTATATTTAAGTCGGTCACCAGGTTGCCTTTTTTGGCCAGGACCAAGTCACCTCTGGTTGGCCCATGCACTTTCTAAATCAGGAAGAGCTTCTTGACACAGGTCAGGAAGGATTGTGACTGATCCAACTTGGCAGAGTGTTCCTCCCAGGAGATGTCTGGATAATTAAAATCACCCATGATGACCATGTCATACGCACACGCGGCCACAGTCAATTCTCGGGTGAACTCCAGATCAAGTTCCTCCCCCTGGTTTGGTGGTCTGTAGTATACACCTACAGTTAAGTCTCTCACCATACCCCCACCGCGACTTAACCCAGAGGGTTTCAAGCTGTTCATTTTTGGAGCCGATGTTGGCTTCCAAGGAGGTGTACTGCTCTTTCACATAGAGAGCAACACTACCATCTTCCTTCCCCATCCGGTCCCTTCTATGTAGGATGTAGTCCTCTATAGCTACACTCTAGTCATGTAAGAAGTCCCATCAGGTCTCCGTAATCCCTACTAGATCATAATGCTCACTGGAGAGTAGGAGGGCTAGTTCCTCCTGCTTGTTCCCCATTCTCCTGGTGTTAGTATATAGGCACCTGAGTCATCCTACTGAGGCCCTTGTCTTGCTGTCCCACTGATGGAGAACTATTCCCTCAGCTTCTGCAACAGTGGCTCTCCCAGTGTCCCTATTTACAGGGCTTACTTGTATGTTGGTCCCTGGGCATGTTTGAATTTGTGTATCCCTGTACCCCAGCAATCTTAGTTTAAAGCCCTGTCCAGAAGATTGGCCATCCTGGCCATGAACAAGGACTTACCTTTCCTTGTGAGGTGAATGCCATCCCTTCCCAGAAGTCCTCTTTCCCTGAAGTGCGTGTGTGGGGGAGGAAGGGAGCAGGGGGTCCCTGGAACCCCACCACCTGGAAATAACCCATCCGGGTTACGCCTCCCGGTCCAAATTGCCCAGCCGGGCACCCTCACACTCCACAGGTGCGGCTGGGGAAGAAGCCTCGAGGCAGTTCTGGTCCCTATTAAAGGGATGCCGGAGGCAGCTGGCGAGAGAAACCCGGAAGGCGGCGGCGGCGACGAAGAGGGAGCCGTTGGGAGCACCCGTGCGTGGGGAGAGACAGCCGGCCGGCACGGGAGGACCTTCTGGGGCCGGGGGAAACCCCAAGGGGACCTGGGAGCTGAGGAGCAGCGGCCGCACCGCGGATACAGACGGCGCGGCGAACGGCTCGGCTCAGGGAGAGCCGGTGACCCGTATTCTTTTGAAGAGAGGGGCACTCACAGCAAAGACAGCGAGATAGCCGTGCCCGAGAGGGGCTCGGGGACTGTGCAAGCCCAGGACCAGATCCAGCGGTGAGTACAGCCGGAACTGGGGGAGGTAACCCCACGCCGGACAGGGAAAGACCGGAGAAGCCGGTAAAAGGGACAGATAACCTTCGGGATCCGGTAATCCCTGGCTGGGAGCATTCAGTTGTTTTGTTTTCTCTTTGATTTCTTCACCTCGGATGTGCCCTTGGTGACGAGAGGGACGCAGGCGGCCGAGAGACTTGGAGGTACGGGCGAGGGTGTAGGGGCGGCGGAGCCCTCGACAATGTGGGACCCCTGAGGGATCGGAATCTCATTTGTGGACTGGTACGCCCCCGGATTTATCACTGAACCAGTAGATCATCAAAGTCATGGCAGGCGGTTCGGAGGAAACCAGCCCACAAACGAGCCGAGGGAGGAGGAACACCTCGGGGACGGTCCTTTACCAAGAGGGGCGGAGGCGTCAGCACGGAGGGAAGTGACCGGCACAGCGCTACCCTTGGACAGCGTGCCATGGTCAAGGAATCTGAAACCTTCTTGGTGGCACCAACGTTAGAATACATGGTTCATTTCCTTGATGCATCCTTCCATTCTGGGACCGCAGCCTGCAACAGGAAGCACAGAAGAAAAGACTACCTGGGCCCTCAACCCCTTGAGCCCAGCCCCTAGATCCCTGTAGTCACTCATGACCTGGTCTGGATTACTCCTGGCTGTGTCATTAGTTCTCACATGGATGAGGAGCATGGGATAGTAGTCAGAGGGCTGGACAAGACTGGAGATCCTTTCTGCTACACCTCAGATGTGAGCCCTTGGGAGGCAGCAGACCCCTGGGCTAGGGGGTTCAGATGGCAGATGGGTCTCTCAGAGCCCTGCAGGAGGGAGTCCCCCTCAACCTTGTGTCTCATCTTAGGGGTGGCAGCAAGCTGCTTACCTTCCTCCTTTTCCAGTGTCACCATTGGAGTCTCCTCATATGCGGGGAGGGGAGCGTACCTGTTGTGCAGGGCCATGGGAGGAGCAGCCCTGTCCCTGCATTTCCTGGAGTGTGAGGTGACTGTCTTCTAGGTGGGTCTTCTTGGTTAGCTAATGTGTTGGCCACCATCTCCATCTCTTGCTCTTCTTCCTTCTTCTGGAGAAGGGTCTAGCAGTAGCCATCGATGAGGTCTTCGTGGGCCCTAGTGGTGCACAGCTGATGTATCTCTTCCTCAAGCTCCCCCACCGAGCCCTCCAGAGACTCCACGAGGGAGCACACCCCACAAGTGGGGGTGCCCCCATGCCCAGTTGCCAGCAGCCCTCACCATGGGCTTTGTCTGGGTGGAGGTCTCAGTGATGCCAGAGTGCCTGTGGGTACGATGAGTAACTGCCATGGCTGAGAGCAATTGTGTGGTAATGGGTTATTCCACCCAAGTGGAAGTACTCAGTACCCCAGAATGCTCTGAGTTCTAAGGGGCCCAATATTTCCCAGGGCGCCCAGTGGCTGGCGTGCCTCCCACTGTTGTTTGAACCGGCTTTTCTCACACTGGTGGGAGAATGGGGGTTGGGTGGTTTCTGAGCCCCAGAGAAAAAAGGACTGGGCCCCTCAGAGCTCAGAGTGAGTGAGCTTCAGGGCTGAGGCCCTGGAGCTCTCTGGTCTCACTGAAACTGACAAAGGGGCCCTGCTCTCAATGTGCAGCTGCTGTGTGAGTTTCAGCTGCTTTCCTGGTTCTCACTGGTTGGCCCGTTGTCTGCCCAGTGGGAACAGTAAGCAGACCCTGCTCCTAGCCCTGCCCCTGCTTACAAAGCCTCTAGTGGCAAGTCACATCTGTGCAGGTGATAGACAGTCAGAGCAGGTTTTTTATATTACCATGTGACTGCTCCAATAAGCCAAACAATATTAAGCCGATTAACATTTGTTCGACTTACAGAGTAAGGCCTAACAAGGCCCTTAGGGCACTTACACATGCAGGGAGCCTGCTCTAATGCACTGGAAATCCAGCATGTCGGATTAGACTGAATTAATAGAGTCTGCTGGAGCACATAAACTGATGTGCTCTGGCAGCCTCGCACATCACGTGTATCAGTGGCTCAGTGCACCTCCGTGCTGAGAAAATGGTGGCAGTGCACTTTGAACTAAAACATGTTTGATGTGCTTTAGTTCAAAGTGCACTGCTGCCATTTTCTCAGCACGGAGATGTGCTGCACTGCTGATACATGTGATGTGCAAGCTCTTTTAATTAGCATGGCTCACTAATTAAAAGTGCCTGGGACCACATGTAATGCATTGTGACCACATGTAAAATTACCCTTAAATCTTTAAGGTGCCGTCCTGCCACACCTCCTACAGATAAACAGAAAACATTAATTAACAAGCAATTCTTTTAAAGACTGCCTCCATCCCATTTTTGAGTTCAAGGTTTTAAGTAACAGAAGATCTACCACATCAGAGATAAATTGTTTCAGTAGTTAATTCATTCCCTAGGCTGAATTTGTCCACTTCCAGCTTTCGTATTTTATTATGCCTTTTTATGACAGTTGAATTATGCTTCTCTCTTTAATTGATTACATCCCATGTCATCTTTTCCATTAGTTAGTCTGCAACTGGAAACTGCAACTGTAGTCACTTGGGATTTATAATTACATTTTAAACAAATATGGATGATTCAAAGGCTTGTCCAAATAATGCAGACATAGGTTCTGCATTTGCATCATGTAAACTACTCTGGGCTTCCTGTCAGCCCTTATGTTTGCAGTTATTTCACAAGGCATCAAGATCCAAAGCTCTCTTTGCACTTGTTTCTGATAATCAGTATGGATGCTTTCTATTATGCTCCTAAAAGGGATGTGCTGAAGAATACTGAAAACAAAAACAGAGTTAAATAACAGTTCATTTTCAATTGGATCCACTGCCAATGCGATGCTTTTTATTTGTATCAATAATCAGGTTAATGGGCATAGTAAAGTCATTTATCTTTTAGTACAAAGGTATAGTAACTTGTGTTAACAGTGTGTACTTTCACACAAATAAAGGCCATTAAAGGCAATTTCCCCATGTGTCACCAGAGATATCACATGAAAGATCATTATATCACTACCAAAAGCAACATATATTGTTCAAAGATTTTTGTGCTTCTGGAAATACAAAAGAATCATACCAATTGTTCACCGCTACTTATGAGTTAGAAAAAACTAACACCAGTAGCATTTCTATGCAAGTGCTCCAGTGGCGCAATTGGTTAGCGCATGGTACTTATACAGCAGTACTTGAGTGAGCCATGCCAAGGTTGTGAGTTCAATCCTCACCTGGAGCATGAATTTTATCGGGGGGGAGGTGGTTTTCCAGCTATTTTAATAGAAACAAAGAAGGGTGACTTGAGACCCTCCGGGTCAAGATATGGGGAGAGTATGGAGAAGGGGATTTGACCATAGGAGTTTATTAAAGACCTCCAAACCAAAAGGAACAGCTTGACCAGGAATTCCCTGGAGCACTGGCAGAGGCTGCATGGTCATCATGGGTGACTTCAACTACCCAGACATCTCATGGGATGAGCACTCACCTAGATCTGATACCTCACAAAGCTTCCTCACTTGCATTGAGGAGCTCTATCTAACACAAGAAGTCCACAGGCTGACCAGAGGCAAGGCAATCCTAGACTTGGTTCTGGCCAAAGGAGATGATCTAGTGAGCAACCTGAGGATGGAAGGGAAATTGGGTTACAGTGACCATGAGATGATCACTTTCTCCATTCACTGTAAGTCAGGGGAATTCTCCAGTAAAGTAGAAATCCTTGATTTTATGAAAGCTGACTTCCACAAGCTTAGGGGATTGGTTGGCAAAGCCCTGCAGGACCACAGTTTGATGAAGAAGGGGGTGCAAAAAGAGTGGTCATTCCTCAAGTAAGCGATCCTAAAAGCTCAAAGGAAGTCCATTCGCTTTCAAAGGAAAGGCAGCAAAAGGGCTGGGAGACCCCCTTGGCTCAACAGGGAAGTCATGGACGTCCTGAAATTAAAACAAGAAGCCTATAAAGGAAGGAAGTCAGGAATAACTACCAAAGAGGAGTACTTGGCAACAGCCTGCACCTGTAGGGAGCAGATCAGGACACCAAAAGCACAAACTGAACACAGATTGGCAACCAGAATAAAGGACAACAAAAAGTCTTTCTTTAGATATGTAGGAAGTCAGACAAAAAATAAGGGAAGCATAGGGCTCCTGATGAATGAAATGGGATGTCTGATAACTGACACTCAAGACAAAACTGAACTCCTGAATGACTACTTTACATAGGTATTCCAACAGTCCAAGGGTGTTAGCCTGCTTGACAGGATACAGGATGATCATGATGGGGGTGACTATCCCCCCCATAGTTGGTGTAGATCTTGTGGGAGAGCACCTACAAGGCTAAATATCTACAGATCAGCAGGACCACTTGAACTACACCTGAGGGTGCTAAAAGAACTGGCCAATGTCATCGTGAAACCAATGGCAAAGTTATTTGAAGACTTGTGGCACTTGGGAGAGGTCCCAGAAGATTAGAAGAAGGCCAATGCGGTGCCTATCTTCAAGAAATGGAGAAAGGAGGACCCAGAAAATTACCAGTCAATCAATTTGACCTCAATCCCCGGTAAAATCTTGGATAAAATTATCAAAGAAGCCATTACAGACAGGCTAGCAGAAGGCAGTATTCTGAAGGATAGCCAACATGGGTTTGTTATGGGCAGGTCATGCCTGACCAACCTCATTTCCTTCTATGATCAAATTACTTGCTACCTGGATGGGGGAAATGTAATACCTGGACTTCAAAAAGGCCTTTGACCTGGCCTCGTACAAAGTTCTCATGAAAAATTGGGAAAATGTAGCCTTAACTACTTTACAGTCCATCAGCTAGGTAACTGGCTTTGTGGTAGGACTCAGAGAGTATTGAATGACTGAACTGAGTCATCATGGCAGAGGGTGACCAGTGGCATCCCTCAGGGTTCAGTACTTAGACCAGTGCTTTTCAACATGTTCATCAACAGTTTGGATTCAGGTATTAAAAGTGAACTAGCAAAGTTCACTGATGACACCAAACTATGGGGGAGTGTGGTTATGCTTGAAGACAGGCTGGCAATACAGGCTGGCCTGGACAGGCTAGCGAGGTGGGCGGAACTCAACCTGATGTTGTTTAATACGGAGAAATGTAAAGTCCTCCATCTGGGGAGAAATAATGCACAATGCACTTACAGGCTTGGTAGTGGTACAGTTGCTAGCACCACATCTGAATGAGACCTGGCAGTTGTGATAGACAACAAGATGAACATGAGAAACCAATGTGATGACGTAGCGGGAAGAGCTAATTAAACACTGGTACGCATCTACCGAGGTATCTTGAGCAAGCCTAAGGATGTCATCTGTCCACTCTACTTGGCCTTGGTGAGACTGCAGCTGGAGTTCTGCATCTAGTTCTGGGCAACGCATTTCAGAAAGGATGTGGAGAAGCTTGAGAGAGTCCAAAGGAGGGCCACAGGCATGATTAGAGGCCTAGAGACCAGGTCATATGAGGACAGGCTGAAAGATTTGGGACTGTTCAGGCTGGAGAAGACTCAGAGGGGACTTGGTGGCAGCCTATAAGTATATCAAAGGCAAACATCAGGGCCTGGGGGAGCAACTTTTCAACAAGGCCCCCTAGGGGAAGACTAGAAATAATGGGCACAAGCTGATTGAGGATCGCTTCAGACTAGACAGAAGGAAAAAATTCTTTACAAGTTGAGTGCTGAGGGTTTGGAACAGGCTCCCCCCAGAGGTGGTACAGTCATCCACCCGGGCGATCTTCAATAAGCATTTTGACACTCATCTTGCTGAGGTCATCTGATCCCAGCAGTCTTTCCTGCTGAAGTGCAGGTGGGCTGGACCCAATTATATGGACAGTCCCTTCCAGTTCCTAACATCTATGAAACTATAAAACAAGCTGATTTTTTATTATTCTTGATACAAATTTCATTGTTTATAAAATAAAGCAGTAAAGCTTATTTCCCAACTGTTATACTATAAAACTTGGTGAAGCTTGAACCTAAAATAACTACTTGTGTGACACCTGGAGTTATAACCATATCTAGGTATTTTTAGAAGTAACAAAATGAAAACAAATTATAAATATATATTTTAATGGAGTCTTTTCAGAGCTGTGTTTGACTGGCAAAAGAAATGAAAGATTACTGATATCAACCTACTTTGTTTTTCCAAGGCAAAGCCAGGACGTGTCTCTGTGTGCAGTTCCTGGCTGGAATGTTTCAAAATGCTGCAGCTTCCTCTAGCACCAGTCAGTGGGCACTAGGGGAGGCTACATTGACCTGTGCCTCCACTCTTCACTGCCCCCCTCCCCTTTCCCTTTCTTCACAGGGATAGAAGGTAGTGAGGAGTGGAGATGTAAGTAGGGCTGGGAATCTTACACTCTAGCTCCAAAGCCCTCCAACCCTCCTCTCCCTGCCTTAGAGAGGTAGAGGGGACTAGATCTGAAGAGTCTGGCTCCAGTGGCAGGAATGGCTCTGGGAGTCAGTAGGGGTCTGGCAGGGGAAGCATTAGAGGGGAGTAATCCTGGCTCTGAGTTTGATGACTCAGGGTTCCTGGTGGTGGTGTGTGTCTTAGTGACGACCCAGAAACATCCCAGAATCAGAAGGCCCTGGGTCTCCCTCCCTCCCCTATCTAGATATAACTGGTAGTGAAACAGTCCAAAAATACTATTTCATGTAAACAGATCTCATTTTGGAGTGTTTCAGCCACCTCTAAAACATTTCAAGGGGTGTATATGTGGGTGGTGTTACAAGTTACATTTAAACTGCCATAAAGGCACTTAAGATGGGAGCATTCAGCCATTAAAGTGCATCCCATGCTAAACACTCACTAAATGTTTTAAAAGTAAGCCAATTGAAATGAGGAATATCTTTGACCAGTCTTACCCAAGCCACTCTAGGGTATTGTTAGTCAGCTCCAGGGGGATAAAACACTTAATCTGCAGTCCACTGGCATTTTGGGATTCCCAGCCCCTCTACACATTTCTACCCTCCAAACCTCTACTCATCTCCTGTTCCTCCCCGCATCTCCCCACCCCTCCTGTCTACATTGAGCAGCTGTTTGGGGTGACTTAAAAACAGGGAGCCTGGAGAAGTGTCTTCCTTAGGCTCCCCAGTCTTGCAACTTGTGCTGAGAGTGGAGCCACTGAGGGTTAGATCTCTGGTTTCCCCAGGCTCCCGGGTCTCACTGAGCACCAGCTCCACCCTAAGAGTGGAGCTGCTGCACTATTTGCAGAAAGACCAGGGACCCCAGGGAAGCATTCCTCCCCAGGCTCCCTCAGCTCACTGCAATTATGTTGGTGGCTCTGTGCTGAGAGCAGTTAACCCTCAGCAGCTCCATTCAGTGCAGAGTCACCACAGGTTAATTGGTCTAATCCACTGATTCTCAGCCAGGGTGCCATGGTACTCTGGGGTGCCTTGAGAGCCTTTCAAGGGTGCCACACAATGTTAGCACTGTTACGTTTACAAACATGATTTACAAGATAAATCTTAGAGATTTCAAATAAGAATCTACAGTGTTAAAAGCACTCTGCCTTGTTGGAGGTTTTTCTGAGTTCTTTGCAACGTAAGGATTGCCCTATTATTTTTCTATAGCATGAAAATGAGTGAAAGCTAAGAGCTGGAATTTACCAAGGGGTACCTCAAGTCTATGAAGGGATGCCTTGAGTTCATTGAGGGGTACCCCAAGTAGCACCCTGTCAATGAGTGGTAGCAAGCATCAGTCCCCCTGAATCATGGTGTATGCATGAGCACCACCCAGACCTTCAATGAATATGCCTGGGCAGGAATTTTTGGAGCAGTGGAAGCTACCCAGACCTTCTAGCAGGCCACTGAGACAGACTCTAAGGACCAGATTGAGTCCAAATGTTTAGTGCCTCCATGGCAGTAGCTGTATAAGTGCCTAGGAATTGAACCCAGGTTTCCTGTGTGGTAGATAAGGATTCCACCACTGAACCACAGGGGACTTCATAGGGTATTTGAATACATCTAGTTCAGTGGAGCTAGAGAGGGAGAGATAAACAGCTGCTGGAAACGTGTGGCCAACTACTGCCCAGACAAACACTAAGGATACTCCAGACAGGCAGCAAGCACCTATCAAAACCAGGCTCAGCTCTTATGTGGAACTTGGCATCTTTGTATTCTAAAGCTCTTTGCAAAGGAAGCTCAAAATCTTCTCACTTTGGGACAGGCAGACAGGCTTCCCAGAACTCAACTGTCTTGACTGATGGATCAGACCATGAGCTAGATAACACTGGGTGCTTGTACACGACCTGGGAAGCTGCTCTGATGCACTGTAATTACTTGAGTCTGCTGGATTATGGTAATTACCACACTCCATCCAGCCTCCATCTCTCTTGTATCAGCATCCACAAACTTCAAAATTGTAGTGGAGGCACTTTAACTAAAGCACTTTGACTGAATGTCCCCACTGCCATTTTGAATCACGGGGATGTTCATACATGAGATAGGCTTCATAGACATTAGGGCTGGAAGGGTTCTCGCAAGATCATCAGGTCCAGCCCTCTGCCCAAGGGGCAGGAAGTCAGCTGAGGTCAGATCACCCCAGCAAAATAAGCATTCAAGCGTTTCTTAAAAAGTATCCAGGGAAGGTTTTTGCACCATGTCTGGAGGGAGCCTATTCCAGACTCTGGAGATTCAGATGGTAAAGCAGTGTTTCCTTATGTCCAGTCTAAAACTGTCTTTCACCAGCTTGTGACCATTAGACTTTGTCTTCCTTTGGGGTGCCCTGGTGAACACACGTTCTCCCAGATCCTGATGCACACCCCGATACACTTACAGGCTGCCACCTAATCCCGCCTGAGCCTATGCTTTTCCAAGCTGAAGAGTCCCACGCCCAGGGTCTCCTCATAGGGCCTGTTCTTTTGACCTCTGATCATGCACGTGGCTCTTCTCTGGACTCTCTCACTCTTTTCCACGTCCTTTCTAAAGTGTGGAGCCCAGAACTGGATGCAGTACTCCAGGTGCTTTAATTAAAGCAGTGCTCAAAGCCACTCTAATTAAAGTGCCTCCTCCCCACATGTAAAAACTCCCATTGTTTCTTGCCTGTTTGGGCCTGTCACTACATGAACAATATCAAGGATGGGATGATGGCATGGACACCTCTTTCATTCCATCCAGACAGCAGCTGAGGCACATGGGTGAAGGCTTGTGCTGTTTCTGCCTATGCTATACCTACTGTGTGGATAAATTCAGGACTTCATTCTCTAGGGCACATTTAACAAGCACTAAAACCACCAAAGAAAAAGCAGTCTCCTTGCAGAGTCTGCTTTCTCCCTTCAGCTCCTTCTTCTCCACCTCCAAGAGATGCTGCTGCTGTGGAAACAGCTAATTGACACATCTGTTTTTATAAGATTTGTTCAGACAGGTGTGAAAGAGAGTGACATTAAGACACCATACTCTGCTCTTGGAATCCAACAAATAAGAAATATAATTTTCCCCCACCCAGCAGAGGTTTTATTTTCTATATGCCATTGGAGATGGTTACCTGAGCGAGTCACATTACAGAGTTACGACTTTAAATTTACAACCACCATGAGTAACTGCCTTAAGAAAACAGATCTATTCACATGCAATTCATCTTTTGTCCTAAGAAAAAACCTCCATCATATTTTCAAATCCAGGTGACTGAATGGTGGCACATTCCCTGATTTAGCTTTTAGGGACCCAATTTACAAATAGTGCACAGACAAAAATATATTTAAAAAGACATTCACCAGTGTGACAGGTAGACTTTTTCAAACAAAAGTGACGGAAGAGGTTCAAGGACTTTCATTAGTATCATGACCCCATCTAATAAGCAGGCCAAGTTATTTTCCTTCCTATTTAGAAGAAAAATCCATTAAATCGAAGCAGAGAAGCAACTGATGAGCAGATGTTCCATGTGTATATTTCTTTTAGTCAAGAAATCAAGTCTAAATAATGAGAAATATATTGCGTGTGCTTGAAAAGGCAATACTTTTATAGAACAAGCATTCAAAAGAAGATTAGAATGTACTTTTTGTTCTAATTAAGTTTACACACTAACACGGGAGTAAAGCAGATATTTTACACACACAGCTTTCTGCACATTTCTCTTATGCATCATACAATATGAAAGTCAAACAGCTTACATCTGTTTAAAATTTGTTTTCCCAGGCTATGAAGTCATTTACTACCAAAAACAATGGTTTAATAAATTCAACTTACAGACTAGTTTAAGATGCTAATGCGGAAGAACACTGTAGTCTAGCTACTCTTTGCATTGCTTAGACAATAAATGCTCCCCTTGCAAACATTAAAGGCATTCAGTGCTCTGCTAATGAGATAGTCTCTATTATCTGTCAAACTACACCTCCATTAGTAGTGCTGTAATTTCAAAGATAATTAGCGCAGAGCTTGTCAATCTGATTTTTTGCTAACTTTATAGCCTTTTTATTTTATTCTGCATTTTATGATCCCTTTGGGAGCCTGCGGTTTGCTTGTTGGACAAGCACAATGCATTCATTCTGGGCCAAACAAAAGCACAGTTTAATTAAGAGGTGTCATGCCATTTATTGTGTACCACGTGCTGCCCTGTTGATGCTAAGCTATAAATGCTAAGATTTGTCAGATTCAATTTCTCTGCTGTAATTTCCTTTTAGAGGAAGGATGACACGAGGCAGGGATCCAATTTCCCAT